TCCTGCTTGACAAACATGAGTATAATTGGATGTCTACTGACGTCGCATTTTAAAATAGGAAAAAACGTGTTTATTTTTTTTTTCCATCGTCCACGAGTTCCGTCACATCTGTTACACTGACCAATAGAAGCACAGAAGCACCTTCGTACATGGTTTTAAACAAGCCTGAAATGGAAAAGAGACAATGGTATCGGTCCTGCTAGGTGAAATTTTACAATAGAGGAAATGTTCGTGGAGCTATGGCAATAATACTCCTGCATTTAAAAAAAGTCAAATAAAAACTATTTTACCTCCGTTCTCTTTGACAGTCTATACTGTCCTCTTCATGTAATCCAGATTTGTGCCCACTGTCAGGTTTGCTTTCTTATTTGGGCTTTTCTGATTACAAGACAGGGCAAAACACGCTGTTTGCTAGCCATTGTTTGTTTAATCTCTCTGTCTAGTCCCACCGTATCAATGACAACACGCACATCGTTAAAGATGGCAAGCGATGAATGGCTGGGTAGCAATGTGTAGCCTGACATGTTTCTTGTTCACGACACAACAAGATTTTAGGAGTCAAAATCACATAATCTGACACATTGACTGTCGTAACCGACAAAAAAAAATTTTGTAGTCTGAACCGGGCTTTAGTTTACTAGCAGTTTTTTTCCCTTTATCTGCAAGAAGAGCAACAACAACATACAAAAAAACACATGAATAATAGTCATCTTCGGAGGAGTCGTAGTAAAACAATCGTACAATCATACAGTCGAGAGCAAAGCAATTGCCAGGAAAAGACAAAAATAGTAATGATAGTAGTAATAAAAAATAAAATAAAATACATACAACAGTTCAAGGCACCCAGTAATATCCATGTTCATCTCAATTCGGTCCATGTAATGCCACTCAGTCCGTTCTTCAGTGTCCAACTCAAACTGTCTCCCAAGTTAGCTCCCAAGTGGGAGAGAAAAGGGTTCCAAGTTTTGTAAAACTGAAATGGTTTGTTTTTAAGGGAAAAAAACCCTCAAGGCTTCAAATGGCACAATGTCCAATATACTCTTAGTCTATTGTGTCTTTGTTGGTGCTTTTCAGAAATCCACTGCAGCAGTATGAAAGTGAAAGTGACGTGACATGTGGCCAAGTATGGTGACCCATAATCGGAATTAGTGCTCTGCATTTATCCCATCCAAAGTGCACACACACAGCAGTGAATACACACACACCGTGAACACACACCCGGAGCAGTGGGCAGCCTTTTTTTTTTTTGCTGCGGCGCCCGGGGAGCAGTTGGGGGTTCGGTGCCTTGCTCAAGGGCACCTCAGTCGTGGTATTGAAGGTGGGAGAGAGCGCTGTACATTCACTCCCCCCACCTACAATCCCTGCCGGTACGAGACTCGTTAACCTTTGGGTTACGAGCCACTCTCTAATCATTAGGCCACGACTTCCCCTTGATGTATGCAGACGTATGCAGCGTCTGGCAGTAAATAATAAAATTTTGAGCAGCTGGATCTTAGATCTTCAGGTGTTATATGAAAGAATCCCTAAAATACAGACCAGTGGGTCAAGGTCCAGAGAGATTCCCAATTTGTTATGTCTATGATGCTTTTAAGAAACAGCATACAAACACATATACGTGTGATCAAACATCAGTAGAATTTAATATTATGCTCAACATAACAATATATCTACAGCTATAAAAGTATATATATATATATATATATATATATATAAAACCCTTAATCATGGTAAAATAACTGTTCTGCGTGTCCTCTCATGGCT